TCTCTCTCTCTCTCTCTCTCTCTCTCTCTCTCTCTCTCTCTCAGCAGAAGCACAGGTCAGGTTGACCACAAATCTACAGGCGAAGATCAGGCCTGAGCACTTTTAATCTCATGAAACAAGTAATTACAAATAGTTGTATCGATTTGTTAAAAAGCTTTAGGTGACATAAATTGTTTCTTGTTTAGCTTATTGCTCTGATACATAAATGTCACCAAGTTCAGTATTAATTAGGGCCCCAGAAAAACACAAGGTGGCCATCACGGGTTCTGGTCTAGAATTTGTTACTCCTTTGTGAGCCTTTTGGATAGCTTCTTACCCACTCATTTCTCATTAGTGGCAGGCAGAGGAAAGGAAAGCTGTTCTGGTCTGTGAAGTTTATAATGCCCACTCACTTTCCGATTCCAAATGAAACTGCAGAATTTGGGGCTTGCATTATTGCAAGTTGATACGCAACACCACATTTCAAAAATATCTTCTAAATAGAATAATATTTAGAGGGGATGTCGGCCCCCAGCAGGCTAACACATCTAACCCTTCTCAATGTATGGCACTGTATGTGTTTCTTTGGGGTTATATTTCTACACTTAAAATGCAATTTTAAATGGCTTGCACACGCTATTGACTTAACATAAATCAAATGTATCATATATACTTTCTTTATGTTGGCATGCCACTTAGAAAAATATGTGAGATTCAGGGGAAGGGGGTGAATAGAGAAAATTTATTAAATATAAGTTTTTACTGTAATAGAATATTAATCTAAGCCAATGCTCATTTGCCATTAAACTGATCCTTTTTTTAAAAAAAAAAATACACATGCTTTTTATTATTTTGCACTCAAGCAAAAATTCCACATCCAAAGACTTTCCATCTAGCTGGGAATGTCTCTGGCAAGCAACTTGTCAGGCAATTTTGACCTACAGAAAGACAGCAGACAATGTCCACACTGAGCATTAACCCACGGGGCAGAGAAAGCAGATATGACTGATTCCCCAACATCAGATAAATGGCGGTCAACAGCATGGATGAGGGAGAAAAGGTCCTTCCCCAAACCTTCCTCTTTGCTCCTCTAGTAGCACATAGTTGAAAATGTTTGATTTGCAACATAAAAGATTCATTAATTACCACTTGAATATTTAAAGCTATTTTACAGCTAACAGAGATAGATAAAGCAGTGAATTAAAACCTCTAATAAAATTGTAAAAATATTTCAGTAAGTTTACCCGTGTTATGATTTAGGGAGAGGTTCAAGCATTCTTACAGAATAGAGTCTTTACAAATTTCAAGTGTGTGTTTGAAGGAAGGAGCTGAGTACTCTGAAATAATTTGTTTCTTACTTGCAAATGTTTACTAATAATTTATTTTTGATTCAGCCTCGCTACCTTAGGACGCCATAGACAGAAAAATACCTAGCAAGTAGATTAGAAAGAAGCCTTGTGTGTCTAATCCAGGAATTCATCATCTCTCACTGGACTTTTTAGAAGCTAAAAACCCGGAACCCTGAGGATGTGGCAAAGCAGCCCCTGCCCCATCTCATCTGTGTGACTTGTTTACCTCGGGAACTGTAGAGAATGTATTTGGTTCCTGTGCTCCTCATAGGAGATTGTGCCAGCCACAGTCCCACCAGAGCCCTGACGACCGTAGCTTTGACAAGATCCTTTATCTCTTTTGTCCTCAACTTCCTCTTCTTGTGAATTCAGGACATTTCACTAACAGATGACAAGGATTCTTTCCCATTATACTGTTCTCAAAATTTAATAACATCCCCTCTTCGGGGAGTTTTCTTAACGGGATCTGCAGCAAAGAGAGTTTGTACACTAACTGCTCGGTAGCTCCCCAATACTAAGATCGCCTTAGTAGGCTCCTGCTGTATAACCGGCCTGCTTCCACCCATCCAGTCATCACATCCCCCCTACCCATCCAGCTGTAAGCATTCAATAGCGTACTCAGACCCAACGCTGGAGATCAGCTGGGGAGCAAGACAGATAAAACCCTTGATCTCATGCTCCCTGAGGGTTCACGTGGAAGTGAACTCCGGAACTTTAGGTTGTGTGGCGGTGTGCTAAGTACTAATGAGACACAGAGTTTCAAAATACAGGAAGACCACGTAACTCCACCGGGGACCACTGGGGAGGCCTTCCAGAATGCAGAGTGTTTAATTAAAACCCAAAGGATGTCTAAGCTTAGGC